AGTAGCAAGGAGGACATCAGCACCTGGCTGTGGCTGCTCTTCTAACCAAAAAACAAAACAAACAAACAAACAAAAACTCCTCATGACAAAAACATACATGTCTATAATATAGTAGGGTATAAAGAAAGTCAAAGGCTAGAGGCATTCCACTGGGGGAATAGGGGGGCCCTATCCAAGTCCTGTGCAACTCTGTACTACACACTTAAGTCTTCTTCTTCCACACAGATCTCAACATTCCTCTCCTCTGACCTTGACACACATACTTAAAGCTCATTTTAATAAACAAATATACCACCATAGCTCATGAAATAAGTAGTAAGTAGTAACTGCCTAAGTGCTTACATAGTTAACATCTTAACATATTCATCTGCATGTTGAAGAAAATCCTTTATAAATACTTCACAGCCTCCTCTCCTTGCTCTGAGGTAGGCTCCTGAGCCCTGAGTGAGAAGTCTGCCACTGAACACTGTGAACACAGAATGTTTCACAACAGAGCAGGGGAAACAGCCCAAAGGAGTTCTAGTTTCTTAAGGCAAAACTTCAAATTGTGGCCTTTATTATTTTGTAAATATTATTTTCCACAACAGAACCACCCCTTATCAAGTAACCTGGGGAGTTAAGCTTCAAAATAAATGTGGTTTGTTTGGTCTGTCAAGGTGGATTATTCCCCCCACCTCTGATCTCTACCTGAAGAGAGAAGGGTTAACATTAATTAGAGCTAGTGTAAATCTTAATAAAATATATTTTAACCATTAGCCATCAACATGGAATCTTTCCTTAAATCTATGATCATACAAATAAGTCTGAAATAAAAATGAAGCTAGGTGCCAGTGGCTCATGCCTATAATCCTAGCAACTCAGGAGGCTAAGATCTGAGGATTGCAGTTCAAAGCCAGTATTGGCGGGAAGGTCCATGAGACTCTTATCTCTAAAGAACTAGCAAAAAGCTGGAAGTGGAGCTGTGGAGCTGGGGCTCAAGTGGTAGAGTACTAGCTTTGAGTACAAAAGTTCAGGGACAGCAACCAGGCCCTGAGTTCAAGCCCCAGGACTGAGAAACATGTTTTAAAAACTACATTCTTCTTCTGAGAAACTCAGAAGACCGACCTATGTGACTCCACAGCTGAAAGGTCCTAAGACTTGACAGGACAGCCCCAAAGCTGACGGCCTGGATGTTGGCCACCTCTTCTCACATCCGTGGAGACTCCAGTTTGAGAAGAGTTAACTTGAATTTGGCCTGCATTAATCGGAATTCCCCATAATTCCAGGAAATGGACAAAAAAAGTTTATCTTCCAATTGGATTAGGGCTCTAATACTAAAGGACGTGGCAGACCCAGTGTGTTCCTCCTAATCCACTAAAAAGAAAAATCAAACCAACTAAAAATACTACTTAACTTTTTAAAGAAGAATGGAGTACAGATGAAATGAATGACTTTTCTAGGAATTCTATGGTGCTATTTTAATCTGTGCTTCATTATCCTAACAGCTTTTTTGTTTTTTTTTTAAGCTAAGGATAGCTTTAGTATAATTTCAAGATCAAATTCATGGAAATACACATTCACTTTGTATGTCTTACAAAATCTGGGGAATTGCAAACTAAATGTATTTACAATAGTTCCACAATGACAGGGTGAGGGAATTTTACATCAAAGGTTTACCATCCATCAAACTGTAGTGGAAATCACAATACCTTTCTGTGAAGGACTTCAGGCAATGTCCTATTTTAATTAACAGACTATCTCCCCTAAGACACATATTTATTACAAATGTACTATAGCACCAATAACAATAACAATTATATTAGCATTTTGAAAAATAGTAATTAAGTATTTTTGAACCAAAGTTATAAGACAAAAGTTTTACTTAAGATGACAGCTCAAGCTCCCAGCATAGAAGCTCTCCTTATCTATTTTAAATTTTAACTATAAACATTTTGGGTCCTTCAGGTATGATAAAGAAAATTATATTAAGTAAAGCAAGCCAGCCCCCAAGAAACACAGGCTGCATGGTTTCCTTCATTTGTAATAACTAGAATATGTCTAGGATATTCTTAGTAGAGGATATTTATTCAGAGCAGTAGCTATGTGCATATGACTATATAAAATGGTGCTTATCAAAATGATCTCCAAGACATGGAAAGAGGTGTTTGTTTTTCTGTGTGTGTGTGTGTGTGTGTGTGTGTGTGTGTGTGTGTGTGTGTGTGTGTGTGTGTGTGTGTGTGTGTGTGTACTATTTGCAGTTACTTCTTTTTTTTCTTTTTTGTTCCTTTGGTTTATTCCCTGTTGTAACTGTTTCTGATTTCTGTACCCTTTGTCTTGTATATAAGCTTATCTGATTTGGGGAAGGGAAGGGGAATCAGAAATGGTGGGACAAAGGGTGAACCAATGCAATATTGATACTTACTAGACACTATGTTGGAAATGAACTTTACAAATTTGGGGGGAGGGGAGAGAAATAGGACAGGAGAGGGGAGGGGAGGGAAGTGGGAAAAAACTAGGGAGAGGTAACATTGTTTAAAAAGAAATGTACTAATGACCTTACTTATGACCCCTCACTGTACATCACCTGTACAACAAAATAAAAAAATCGAAATAAGAAACCTTAGTATAAAGAGAACTAGAAAATACAGACACAAGACCTAACAAAACCAAGGTTAAAGTCACTGGTCCATGGTAAGGCACCCATAGTGGCACCTAAAGAATGTAAGTGTGTAAAGCTATAGTCGCTTTATTCACAATGGGCAACCATTCTTTTCTCTCTAAAACCAAACACCTCATCTATCAGAAAAGTAGAAGTTACTTTCTTTGGTTTACAAAGAATTATGTCTGCTTGAACTGACAGAAAATCATAATCCATTTCTTCGCACAGGCCCCTGCCTAACTACTGAAGCTAATTATGCTGATTCTTTTGGGCACTCACAATAACATTGAATGTTAAAAGACACATTTGGTTCCACCACTTTCTGCAACACCAGGAAGTTGCAAAACATGTAAGGGCTAAGATGTTGGCAATGCACTTATATCAGAAGCTACATAAATTTCTCTTGCATGGTAAATTAAATCCTTTTGAGTTAGAAACACAGATAAGGTGGATCTAATAGGGATGGACATGTACACTGTTAATGTCCTGAACGGACTTAAGACTGCCTTGCTACTTCTGCTCCAATGTAATTTAAATCATTAATGGTCTGTGCTAGCAGCTTTGTAACATCTGTGTGTCTTCAGGTTTTAAAATCCCTTTCTTGGAGGCAAGTGCAGTTTGCTGTACCTCACAGCCCATACGAATTTAGACTCCTGTTATGCATGAAGTACTCTGTTCAGATTTAAAGTAAACATTGTCAGGTATAGATCATTATGGTTAATTTCTAGGTTGGATAATGAGCCTGAAGTGAGTATGGAAGGATATTTGGAAAGAGATAGTTTGGTTCAACCCTCCAGGTCTGATAGGACTGACAAGATCTCAAGGAGAAAGGAAACTACTAGGGAGAAGTTCAAGGGAGTGGAACCCATGCCTCCTCTCCCACCCCCCAAGTCTGGAAGAGTTCTATGCTTGAAGAAGGGTCTCAAGGAGGCAGAAGGCTGAAGAACCACTAAAGGAAGCTATGTAGCTGAGGATGAAGACATCTTCCTAGGGTACCCAGAAGAAAACCAAATACACCTGAACTTGCTCAATTACAGCCCAACCAAATCCATCTGGTTGTATGTTAAAGTTACACATCGCAAGGCAGTCCATACTGCAGCCACTTACGCTAAGTATCTCTCAGTCACCTCAGTCACCTCCAAGTTCTGTTTACTCTCTGAAAATCTGATCTGGATGCTTCCTTTTGTGCTTACTGACCTGATACCAAAACAAAAATTTCAGATATTCTGTGTAATTACTTTTAAGAGCAAAAAATATTATTTCTATTCATAATATGTTTTATCAAATGGAATCAGATTTGGAACAATATGCTTTTAATAGAACTCCTACAGCTCTAGATTCTAGGTAAAATGCAGGCTGGCACAGTTTCACAACAGGGTGGAGTGCTGAAGGACGGACGCACGTCTACAGACAGCCTGGTGACAGGTGACTGGGAGGATATCCAGGCTTCCTGGGTTAAGTCCTGATTCTGGTCCCTTACTTGCTCTGGAGCTCAAGGCCCTTTAACTTTCATCTTTGAAATGACAGCCCAAAAGGATTTTCAAGGTCTCCTTCAGCTTTAAGCTAGTCATGAACTAATCACATGTTACAAGTTCAAACTGAAAATTACCAGAAAGAAATTACAGAGGACTTATCAAAGTCCATGTTTGTCCTAGATTAACTTTGTTTACTGCCCTGCTGTAGAGGCAAACCTGTTGCTTCACATGAAAACCCTCTTTCTGACTGCACTAGAAATACGAGAATTTTTTTTAAAAAATCTCCTTTTTCTAAAGACAGTAAGCCATAGTATCTTTCTTATGTTGGGAAGTTCTCAACTTTCACCTTCACAGTTTGTAAATACACTCAGAATAACACCTGGCAAAATGGGGCCATAGGACTGAACGCTGGGTTCACTGGCTTGCTGATGGAACCTTTATATCAAGCGTGATTGATGCTTTGCGTTCACAGCCCAGCTTCATTTTTAAACCACACCAAACGTGGGGGTTTTTTTTGGGGTGGGGGGGAGGATATTGAGTCCTTTCATTGTTACTACTCTCAGGAACAATTAACCCTGTGGCAGCCAGTGGGAAAGGCTAGTATATTACCAGTATATGTATTCACACCCATCACATATGGTTTTAAGCTCATGAAGTTAAAAAAGAAAAAAAAAACAACAACGGGTTTCACTCCCGGATCTTCATGGGCCACATCTATACCGAGGAAACAAGACAGACTGTGATACAGCACCTGGTGGAAGGGGGAAACCCTCCATCTTTTCTGCTTTGTAAGGTTGCAGTCTTAAAGAGTTTCACAGGTTTGACTCTTCTCCCCGAAAACCAGCACCCACGAGGGGGTGGGAGGTAGCCTGGCAGGGCGCACTCACCTCTTTGATCTTTGCCCTCTTCTCAGAGACCGTGGCGTCGGCGGGTTCCCTATTCTCCACCCCGATGGGGGGCTGGAAGTCCACGTTCGGCAGCCCCCCGAACTGCTCGCGGTCACGCTGCTGGTCCTGGTCCTGTGCCACCTTCTCCTTGTCCAGCAGGATGTCTCTTTGGATCTCCTCGGGCAGCTTCTGTAGGGTCTCCTTGGCTTCCCTGAGAGCCCGCTCGTGGTTTTCGCGGATCCTGGCCAAGTTGTCCTGGAGGGTGAGCACGGGGTCCGCGGGCGCGCCCTCCTCGCGGTGCCAGATTCGCCCCTCCTCGGCGTCCTCGGCGCGCGCCCCGGGCCCGGGCTTGCGGTCGGCGGCGGGCGGCAAGGCGGGGCTGGAGTGGAACAGGACCCCGCTGAGCAGCTTGGAGGAGTCGGGCAGGAAGAAGATCGCCCCGAAGCAGAGCGTGATGAAGGCGCTGAACACCAGCAGCAGCACGAACTTCTCCGTCAGGCGGAAGGCGGCGGGGCCCGACCCTTTCCTGCCGCTGCCGCCGCCGCCGCCACCTCCCCCGAGCCCCCCGCCCAGGCCGCCGCCCCCGGGGCTGCTGAAGAGCGGCAACAGGCCCCCGACGGGCATCGCTCCCGCCGCCTCGGCCGCGGGGTGGCCGGCTGTCCAGTGGCCCGGCGCCGAGCCGCTCAGCAGCCAAACTTCGCCGCCGCCGCCGGGAGTCAGCGGCTGCGGGGCCGGGTCCTGCGCATCCAGGCCGCCCAAGCCGCTCGGCTGGGCTGCGGGTCTCCCCGGGGTAAACAGCTCCCCTCCGGACCTTCTCCCCGAGGTGGCTCTTTTGGCCAGGAAGCACGCGCGACACACAGCTGGCTGCGGCCCCTGCGGGGGAGAAAAACACAACCGTAACGCGGCGTAATTGCGAGGAGGGTGATAAAGTTTCCAGCGGGTCTCCGCCCTCCGCTGGCCCGGCGAGCCCCCGGGGCAGCCCGCCCCCCGGCCGCCCCGTCCCCCCCCCCCCCCCACTCCGCCCCCCGGCACTGAGAGTACGGGAGTCCGGCTCCCGGCACCGCCCTCCGAGCCCACGTTTGGACTTGGGGCGAAGTTTTCGAGTCGCAGGGAGGGGCGGGCTGTCCCGCGCACGCTTGGGGCAGGACCGCGCGCGGACACCTCCGGGAAGGGCAGCGCACCTCGGCGCAGAGACAGCGGCAGCGCGGGTGGGCGGGTGTGGGGGGGTGTCAACTTCGCCCGCTCCCCATCTCCGTGCCGAGACCACCCCCCCTCTCGCTGCCTCTCTCCCGCTCAGGTGGCGGCTGAGCGCGCGGCCCCGCAGCCCCCGCCCCCGGCCGCGGCTCAGGTGGGCGAGCGCGCCGACCCGCGGGCGAGTAGGAAGCGGCGAGCCGGGCGGCACGGTGCCCTCCTCCGCGGCCCCGCGAGCTCTAAGAGCGCTGCCGGTCTCAGGGCGGTCGGAAACGGGGGCGGTGACGCGTCCGGAGAGTGACAGCGCGGCCGGGCCAATCTTACGCCGCCCAGGGTCCCGCGGGGGTGGAGCCGAGGCGGAGAAGGGGGCCGCGCGGGGCGGGGAGTTTACGGGAAGCGCAGCCTCGCGGGGAGCCTGGCCGCCGGGGGCGGGGAGGTCGCGGGTCCCCGAGCGCGCGGCGCGGAGGGCGGGAGTCGCGGTGAGTAGGGCTGTCACACCCTCGTGGGGACCTGGGGCAGAGGGGAGGCGGACGAGGGTCGGGGAGTTTACCCCAGGCCGACCTCCAGTCGGGGGTTCCCGGGGGAAGGTGGATCCCCCGAGGGGGCTGGACGCGGGGGCCTCCTGCCGTCTTGCTTGGACCGGTGCCTGCGATCGGAGCCTCCTCGAAGGGGTCCGGCGAGGGCAGGGACCGCAGGGCGCCGGGCCCTTCCACAGCGCACGCTTTCTCCTGAGACTTTTATTGATTGCTTGTTTAAAATTGTTTCTTTCCCCCCCTGAACATCAGGATTCCCCTGGTGCCCAAACCCAAAGTCCCGGGGTTTGGAGCATCGGTGACCCCGAGGTCTTTGGAGCGCTCTGGTTTAACACCGCGGTACATCCTCAAAGACTTCATGGGTTTTTATGAGGGTTTAGGGACTCTACTTCTGCACCCCTCCCCCTTCAGAAATAAAAGGGAATACAAAGTTGTGTCACCTCCCTGCCCCTCCACACCCCCCCCCCACTTTCGAAATGTATTTACCTCATCGTAGTTGCTGAAAATTTCCATTCAAAGAAGATAGTTGGTGGTGGTGGTGGTGGTGCGTTTTTGTTTTTGTTTTTTTTTTTTTTAAATGTTGACCGAGCTTCCAGCGATAAATTCAACACTGTGGAAATTAAGTCTTGGAGCCGACTACTTCCAGCGAAGTACAGACTTGATCCAATGGAGATTGTTGTTCCAGACCGCCCTACCGTAGATGCTAGCTCAAAGAATACCATGGAGACTGGCCCCACCTCCCATGACATCGCACCGAATGCCGTGGCCCCTGCTGCTCGCCGAGAACGGCTTGGAGACCTGATTGGTACCCCTCCCCGAGTTGGCCTTTGGGGTGAGGGTGGGAGGGCGGGGGACGAAGGGGAAGACATTATTTTCCAAAATAATGCGTGTCCTTCTCCTGTGGCTCCAACGGCAGGACTCCCAGAGAGCGGAAAAAGTTGGCTTCCCATTAGGGGAAGCTGTGTGGTGGCAGCCTTGTGTTCCTGTCACTCTTCTCTGGAAACCTGATTTCACTTCTGCTCCTTGCCCTGGGTCAAAAGGGACAGCTGGAACGTTCTAGGAAGGTGATCACTATAAGTTGTTTCCAGGGGTGTTAGGTCGTGCGAGGAAATACAATACCAAGGCAGAAAAATCCTGTGGCAGCTTGCATTTGAGAATTCAGCCGTCATTATTTGTGGTGTACGGGTTTTGTGTAAAATGAGCCAATCGCACACCCAAAAGTTCCTGTTAATAGGAAATTATGGTCGGATATAGCTGTGTTTTCTGGTTATTTTGATACCTGCTATGAAATTATGTGTCCAGAAGAGTGCAGTATAGCCAAGCAGGGTAATAAATTTAGGAATGAAAAGCAGTAATGATTTTTTTTTAATGATGGAAATTCTGTTTCAAACTACATTTCTAGGGTGTAGATAGGCTGTGAAATATTTCTCTTTCCAACAGTACCCTTAAAATTGAATCACTCCATCACATACATAGAAATTGGGGCTAATTATCCAGGAAGCCAATTACTAAATGATCAGTTTTTAAAATGTAAATCATTCTAAAAGGATTGTGAAGTCTTTTTTAAATTGAAAAGTGTATTTTAAGGATTGGATTATTATAGACACAAAAAACGCTTATAAACTTTTAAAGTTAGTATTCGTATTCTGGAAAAGTAGAAATAACCCACTTAAAATGTATGTGAAATTGGCAACAAAGGTAGGTTATAACCTAATTTTATGGCTAAATTCTTTAAGTGTGAGGCCAAAACTGTTTCAGCCTGTAGTGGAAATATTCAAAATTTAGCTATAGATTTAAAGATCATTTTTCCTAAAAAAAACTTTGAAGTTTGATTTACTGTATCATTTTGAAATCTTTTAGAAAGAAGGTATTTTTTGATTGGGTTCACCTTTATTAAGCTAATTCTAAGATTTTTGTTACCTCTTTTTTGTCATAAAACAGGAGCTTATTGTGAGTGATGCCTGGTTTAAACAATTTATTCAACAAGAAATTAGCTTTGGGTGAGGATTGTAGATACATACTCAAGAGTGCCTATCTGTGTGAGGATGGAAACTATGAGGATGCCCATATTTGACTAGAGAAATTTAAAATCATGGATAAGTAATTTTAAGAGATATACCTGTCAAACCTTCTTAACCATGCAAATCTCTTTGTAATTAGCTCACAAAGCCCTGTATGGATGGGGAAGTGGACCAGGAAGCAGGTGAAACTGTGGGTTTTACTGAACACTTTGATTCAATGCCACAAAAGATTTTGTATTACTGTTGGAAAAATATACCCTAAGATTAATTTTAAAAATAAAGGTGCATGATTTTGGTTTTTATAAGTTATAAAGTCTTGACTCTGTCAAGAGTCAGTCTCCCAGGCTTATCTACCTGAAGAAATGCTTGTGAATACAATAATTGTGCTAAGATTGTTACTTTTTCATTTATGAACATTGTAATGTAAAGTTGAACTTGTTAATATTAGTTTCCCCATTCTCTCTCTTTCTCTCTCTCTTTTCTCCCTTCATTCTGCCAGGCAGTGCTTCTGAAATATTGTTCACTAGTTATTTATAAATGTTACCACATTCACCTTTTTTCAGTACTTACTTTTCTGATAATTTAGGTATTTTTTTCTGGACACAATCTTTAGAATGAAGTCACTTAAAAAATATGGCTGTAGTCACATTTAACTTGGTGTACGTATACATGTTTAAAATGATATAACATAATACTAGAGTAACTTTACAAAGGGAGAATTGGGAAAATTTCAGTAGAACTAGTGAATTAATTCTATAAAATTACTTGTCAAAAATTAGCGCACTAAAACATTTTTAGGCAGTTTCTAAAAGGTACTTTTTTGAAGACTTTAAAAATATTTTTGTTTTATGGTTTTAAGAAAGCAATAATTCTATTAAACAAATAAACTTAATCTATATAATCATCAATGAAATATTCTAAAAAGTCAGATTTCTGATAAATAGCTTTTCATAGATTTTCTTTTTTCCTTTTTTTTTTTTTTTTGTTCCAGCACCGGGGCTTGAATGCAGGGCCTTGGGACTATGCTTGAGTTTGATTCTCAAGGCTAGTATTTTACCACTTAAGCCACAGCTCCAGTTCAAGCTTTTGCTTGTTAAGTGAAGATAAGAGTGTCAAATGTTTCCTGTCCAGCTTGGCTTCAAACCATGATCCTCAGATCTCAACCTCCTGAGTAGGTAGAATTACGAGGAATAAGCCACTGACATGTGGCTAGAATTCTTAGTTACCTTCAAATTCTAGATGGGAATAGATTTTTGCTTTAATTTCAAAAACTGTAATATGCAGGGCTGTGTGAGTGGTACAAGACCTTAAGTTCCAATCTCAGTGTCATATAAACAAATATTAAAATAAAATGTACTATACAGAAAATATGCACATTATCTTTAAATTTCAGTACTTCAGTGGATAACTGACTGACTGACCTTACTTATTTGTTGTTGGTCGTGGGGCCTGAATGCTGTCCCTGACACTTCAGGTCAAGGTTAGTGCTCTACCACTTGAGCCACAGCACCACTTCTGGCTTTTTCTGCTTATGTGGTGCTTGAGGAAGGAATCTAACCCAGGGCCTCATGCATGCAAGGCAAGCACTCTACCACTTAGCCATCTTCCCAGCCCAGCAACTGACTTTATATATAGTTTAGTTAAGAATCAGCTTAAGCTTTAAAAGGAACTACCAGTGATATTAGACTCAAATTGGAGTCTACAGCCCTGTCAGTAGTTCCTTGTTTTTACTTCTCTTCAGCTTACTTTGGAAGTGCATGAGGAACAGCAGATTCTTTTCCTAAAACTTCACTCATGTTTTGGGAGGAAAAGAGACAGTTGGTAGGAATGCTCCTGGTCCCTTTGTCTCTGCCAGGACCCTATGGGAAGATAAGGTTTTGTACTGACCATTCATTTTACAAATTATCATCAATCTCCAACGTAACAACATTGTATCATACCAGTATTTGTGAGTTGGCTTTTCAGAACTTTCTGTGCATAAAAACAAGGTTATAACTTGTTGCTTTGGCTCCCTGATCTCAAATATTGGGAAAACACTGTTGCAATGCTAGTAATAATCAAAATCACATATGATTAGAATATGTTTTTTTTATCTTGAATGTTGGAGTTGAAGACAAAGTTTTATTGGAAGAGGTATGATGACAGTTTCAGAAAGTTTCTATAATCAGTGCTCATGGTCCCACTGCTACAGTTTTCCATTACCATGTAGACTTCTTTTGTTTGAAGAACATGATTAGTAGTATACTAATGGCTTTTTGTTATTGCTGGTTGCTTTCTGTTTTTCTTTTTGAAAAATATATTTAGGGATAGAAGGACATAAGCCCAGGAGGTAGTTATCCCAAGGCATCTGAGCAAGTTTGCATGAGATATGAGATATTTATTATCTTGGACATACGTGTCCTTGACTGTGTATTCATGATTGATAAAATTACTTATCTTCTATGATTCTCATTCTTCATCTGCAGCATTGTTGTAGTTTTTAGGCTAAATGATATAACTTGTATGTCTGATACAATAAGCATCCAAGCAATGTAAGCCCTGCTAAAGTAAATAGTTTGGGGCGAGGGCATAAAAGAACAGTCTCTATAGGATTCTTAAGGAAGACCCATAAAAGTGTTGCAGAAGGGGGTAAAAAAAAAAGGATTGTGTGATAGTTCTCACTTTTCAACTTCTATCATCTGAATGATATCCACTAGAAGACAAGGGATTGGTAGGTGAGAACAGCTCAGGTTTAGTAGACAGAAGGTCCGACAGTGGCTCTTTCCTTTATACCAGACCAAAAAGTTTACCAATTAATCAACTTAATAGATCTTAAAACTATGAAGTAACGTGAATGGAAAAGTCTCAGAGTGAAAATGACATTAAGGATCACTGCTTGAAGAGTCAAAAAAATCAAGAGTACTTAAAAAAGCTGTACAGAAAATT